TATCTTCTCACTTTCCTTATTTTACAACCAAGAAATCTTAAAAAAAAAAAAAAAAAAAGCGTAAGAAAAGACTGTGAGCTACATCTTGGTCCAATCTGTCCACAGCCGGGTTAACATGAATCCTGGAAAAAAAGATCTAGATTTTATCTTTTGGAACTTACAAATTCATGAAAATAGTATTGTATGCACATCATAACAAATCAATATTTTAGGCAAGTGCTCTAAACTCCACAAATGAGTACATCAACGAGGACTTATGTGATCTGTCCCAGCTTAGCTGGGTCTTCTATACCCACCACTCAACATTTAATGCCAACAGCAAAAGTTAGGTACAAGAAGGAGACAAGAAGCAAAGTGCTGTGATGATGACTTAATGATGTTCAACACAATGGGTTAAGTTCTATCAAATAAAAAAAATGCCTAAAATATAGCTGTTAAAAATATAGATAAAGGCTGTAGCACACCTCAAAATACAAAAGTTACCCTTTCTCTAACCAAGAGAGATGAATAAAAGAATGAAAAAATCTCAGTTGTCTTACTGTAAACTAGGTCTCTATTCGTAGAAACAAGAAATGGTGCAGCTGGGGATTTTTGTCCCATTCTTACAAATATTTTAATTGTCATAATATCCTCATTAAATTAAAATTGAGGATTGATTTTTATCAGTAAGGAAGGAGAGAGGCAGAAGAAAACATTGAGAACAATCTGAAAACATCAATTTTTAAATATCTGCTCCCTGAATTAAAGAGTTAAATATTTTCAATAAGATCAGGAGGAAAATTTTGTTAAATTTCTAAGCATTTCTAATCATTTCTAAGACTGAAATGATTATAAGGAAAAAATCTGACTGCTGAAATATTCTTTAAAAGGATAAAGTTAACGAGCAAATTAAGGAAAAAGAAACAATGACAATAAAGAGTTAATATCCTTAAACATGAAGTCTTAAAATCTGAGTCTTGATAGATAAACAGTCACAAAATCTGGACAAATAATTCTCACACATGTTTGTTCTTGTTCTCTCTCTCTCTCTCTCTCTCTCTCTCTCTTTCTCTCTCTGTCTTCACCCCTTTCTCAGAGTAATGAGTAATTATCACTTGGAAACAAATTAACAAAGTAATAAGTAAAAAATAAAATGTATAAAAAGGAATGGATGTTATCCAATTGCCAAAACCTTCATAATAATACTCAATGAGAGTGAAGTTTTAGCAAAACAAACTCTCTAAAATAGTGAAGTATAAATACCTACAACACTTTTACAAAGCCAACTGGCAATCTTATTAAAACTTCTTGGTTTTGAAAGAGTAAATCAACCATAGCTACTTTGATCTAATGAATTAACCCTCAATTAAAAGAAAAAGGTTTATGACAACAATTGCTATTGTCTATGAAACATGTACTGCATGCACTAAATTCCACTCTTTTAAGAGAGATGACACTGTGCACAAAGCAGAACGGTAGGACTGGAACCCAGGTGCATGAGACACAAACTACCACCCCTTTTCATGTTCATTTCAGCCAAGTCTATGATTTTTGTTAACTGGACACAATATATATGTCCAACCAATGAGAGCAGTCAATTACACTACAGCGCCTTTATGTGATGGAATATTACATATGCATTAAAATGAAGTTTATTAACAATTTACAGTAATACGAGGAAGCAAGCATGTTATAACAAGTGAAAAAGCAGGATGCAAAATTTTATGTCTGGTATTATTTCAACTCCATAAATTGCATATCAAGAATATAATATAAAAGACTACCTTAAATGCCAACAATGGTTGTCTTTGGTGGAGGCATTATGGGTAAATTTTTTCCCTTCCTTTATGTATTTTCAATAATGAACATTCACTCCATTAATCTATTTTTTTCATTTTTTTAAACTGCAAAAATAACACCGCTCCTGAAAATGTTAGTGAACACATGGTTGATAAAATTCGAACACCCTCAACTCCACAGACAATCTCTGTTTAGAGTTTTGTATCTATTAATATATATTCTAATAGACTTTATAACACACATGAAATTGTGTGTTGAGATTATGTGTGTCTACGTGTTTTAAGAGGAATGGGATTATATTAAATATAATATTCTGAAATTCGATTTTTTCAATTAATAAGGTACCACAGATAGCTTTCCTTACTTTTATAATCAGAATTTTCTTTTTTATATCATTGCGATTAAATCGAAGAACACTTTTCTATTACACATGGAATAAGTACCTAGGGATCAGCGGCTCCTTGGAAAAGGCATGTCTCCAAAAGCTCCGCTACGTCGGGCTCAGGGGCTTGCTACAATTATTATTTCTAGGACTGATCAAATGAATAGAATAGTTCCCTGCTTAAACTCCTTTAAGTAAACACAAATTAACTGATCTTTCAATTTTCTTTTCCCATCTTTTTAGATGGTACAAGATAGAGCAAAATATGCCTTGAGGTGTCAAAAGTATCCTTTTTTTAAGAAAAAAAATATAAGAAAATAAAAACCACACCTCATTTAATGTATGTGACAAAAGTATTGCCATATTATCTCATGATTTAAGTATGTCGATCCTGTCCAAATTTTTGTCTTTGCTCATAATAAAAAAGTAATATTTGATACCAGAACATTTTTGTTCAACATAATTAACACACAACCCAGGATAACTGCATGTTTCCCCTAATATGTACAAGTAGAAGTTTGTATTAGGGTACAAACTAACAATGTCACACTTGGAAACTATATGAATACCAAAGTAGGAAATACTATCTAATCTTATTTCATAAATGAGATATACATTCTAGATTAACACAGTTCACTAAGAGAGTAAAATTTATCAGGCCCTGCTTTGAGCAAAGCTGTAGTCTAGGTGCCAGGACTAATGCACCTGGGGCATGTAGACTTTGTCAAGTAGTGGAACTCCAAACGCACTTATTCCAACGGGTAGGTTTTGCAGTTACAGGAGACTTCATTAAAATTTATTATTAAATTCCAAGCATCTGAGCCAGATGTTGTTAAGGGACTCATACCTACTGGCCATGAAAACACTCTCATGCACTACACTATGGGATCTTTGAGCATTGCAAGGATCACGTAGATCAGACCTCAGCAAGCTATATCCTGTAGGCCAAATCCAACCTGCCGCCTATCTTTCTAAATAAAGGGTTTTTTAATTTTTTTTTTTATTTCAGCATATTACAGGGGTACAAATGTTCAGGTTACATGTACTGCCCTTGCCCCACCCGAGTCAGAGCTTCAAGCATGTCCATCCCCCAGTCGGTGCACACCACATCCATTAGGTGTATATTCTAAATAAACTTTTATTGTAATGCAAGCATGCTCATTTGTTTACATATTGTCTGTAGCTGCTTTCTTGCTGCAATGGCAGAGTTGAACTGATGCAATAGAAACTCTATGGCCCATAAATCCTAAAATAGTTACTACCTCACTCTTTTTAGAAAAATTTGACAATTCTGATTTAGATTGCTGTTTGAAAAACTGATTTCTTAATATTTATTCTGAGTTTTTCTTTAAGGACCTGAGCATTCCCAGTAAGAAAAAAAATAGGGTATATCTGTTCTTATTCTAAGAAGGCATTCCTAGTGCTCCAAGGCAGTATTGCGTTACAGTTAAGAAGACAGATTCAAATCCCAGCTCTGCCTCTGACTAGTGGTGAATCTTGGGCGGATTACTTAAGCTCTCTGTGCCTCAGTTTCCTCATCTGTAAAATAGTGATCATAGCAGTACCCACCTCAAAGGGTTGTTATAAGGATTAATACCTATAACTCAGTGCAGGGCCTAGGACATAGTGAGAAATGACGTTAGCTAATACGTTTCCTTCACATGATGGTGACCGTCACACATCCACAATACGCTGACACAAGCTTCACGTGATCTTTACTGTTCCTTCCAGCCCTCGGGTTCCCTAGTCAGACGCTACGTGAACCCAAATCTGTGTGGGCTGGAGAATGACACAAAGTGTAGACCCTCAATTTCCTCTTCTGTGAAATATGAGGGCTAAACAGAAGAGCCTCCCATCTCAGCTGAGCATTTCTACATGTCAGAGGCCCCAACTATAAAATTCATTTACTTCCTTCCCAATAAAAGAAAACAAGGGACTGGGACTCAAAATCCCAGAGCTGGAACAGTCATCAATCACACAGAAAATCTCTCTGGATTTCCTGTAATCAGCAAGGCACAAATGCAAGCCTGCCCACAATGAGGTAGCGAGTTAGTAAGGGAGAAAACTAAGTTAATAAACTAAGGTAGTGTCTGTTCGATGACTAGCATAGGTAATGAGACTCTGTCCCTTTCCCTTCCTGACTTGTTCCTTCCTCACCCCACTACCCACCCCGTTCCTCTTCTACCCCTCTCTCACTTCTAGTCCCTCCAAAAGGTGACAACAGGTATCGTAGGGGAGGAAGATGACAGCTCAGTCTCAGACGCTTACGAAAGGATCCAACAGAGACAGTACATCTGAACCGGCTTTGGAAGATTCAACCAAGCACGACTGGTGGGTGGGAGTAGACCACTGTGAAGCGGTGGGCCTGTCCCTAAGCTGTCCAATGGCCAGAGGAGTCATGAGAATATGTGGAGGCCTGACCAGGAGGGTCCCTGAGGGCAGCACAAGGAGTTTAGGCCTTGCCCAGCAGGCGAGGGGGCTGCAGAAAGCCCCAGGACACGAAGGGAGATGACAGTGCTATGCACTGCGGAATAAATCGGGGCAGAGCATGGACGTACCTGCCGGACAGACAGAGCCGAAACCAGGCAGGGAGTCGCACTGGGGGTCGGGAGATGCTGAGAACTCATCGGAGGTCCTCTGTCAGGTCTTTGGGGTCCTGAGTGACACTGTAGGGGGTCACTCAAAACAGTTTTGCCTTAATGAAGATCTCTCTTTCTGAAACCTCACTCATGCACCGCCATTTTTGGCAGCAGAAATAAGTAAAGCTCACAAGCTTTCAAAGTATCTCAATATATAATATTTTTTATGTCTTCTCTTCCCATTTAGATGTCTCACTTACCAAGGAGAGACGGGGCAGAGGCTGCGTTTCCTCAGTCATGAATCACGCCAAGACTCCACAGCCACGTGGGCACTCAAGCCCAGTTCTCACACACCAACACTTCGCAAAAGAAAAAAAGAGAGAGATCCTGTTAACCCATTTTAAAAGAGGATGTGGGCATTGGTCATCGATTCTAGAAAGTTCCATCAATACCCTGAACAACCAGCACGATTGGTTTTTGCAATGCGAGACTCGGAGCAGAGTGATGCGGGGCAGCTTGGTTGTCACAAATACGACAGCCCCATCTCGGGACCACATGTACCGATGGCACCTTCTTCAGAGAAAGAGGAATCACAATTCGAAGGTTGTTTATAGATGATGAAAACAACTTTCAGAAACACCCAAAAGCACCATTATTTCAAACCCATCATAATTACGTTAAGCAGTCTGAACATCAAATTCAGGTTGATTGTGTGAATTCATCCATTTTATGATGGCTCTTTCATTTCATATTTCTGAATATAGAATACCTTAAGCGATACATCTCAAAAACAGGAGATAAAGGTAGTAAGTGTAGAATAAACTACACCAGAAATTTGAGTTTGTATTTTTATTTACATATTAGTGTATTAGGTGTACAATTATGAGACTTTATAGAAAAAAGAATTGTAAATCATAAAAAAAAATTCACTTTACCAAAACCAAGTAAAGCTGTCCCATCTCCTCATTCAATCCCATATATAGAACTCCCGGAAACCTGACGCTGTCAGTGGAAACAAGTAAGCCAGAACCTGGAGAAATGGGCAACTTTCTGTCTATAATCCGTGAGAGAAATGCGTCCACAGCCAGCAAAGGACCCTGTGACCTCAGACACCGCTCTGCAGTGCTCTTGCTCTCTCATGTGGTTTCTTTCTTTCTGCTCTTCCCACCTGCGGCTCCTGGCCGCTACAAATCTGAAACAGCCTGACGTTCTGCATCCCACCCCTGCTCTCAGGAGCGCTGAGAACGAGTACGAGAAAATGGGAAGAACTTCCCAGAACATCCTGGCACTCCCTCTAGGCAATGATCCCCACAGGGTCCACTTCAGCAGAATCTAAAGACCATCTGCTTGCAGAAAATAAACTAAATTGCAGCAGTGGACAATTTGTGAAATTTTATATCTGTCGTATTGGAAGTTCTAGGGGCCGAGGGCCAGGGAGCAGTGACGAGGCGAGGCTGCCTCTCTGTGAGGCTCCCGCCACCAGGAAGCACCTTCGGTGAGTCCGTGGGAAGCAAGGGGGCATCCCAGGTAGCATATTTGGCAGTGCTGCTGTGGGGACACCCGAGTAGCCCAGGTGCACTCATGCTGTGCCTCATTGCCAGTTCTACTGTCCCAGCTGAGTCTTCGGAAGTTCATGACATCATCCTTTGGAAAGGACAAGGCGCAGATGCAAACCCTTGAGGCCAAAAGAGGAGTCAGGAAAGCACACTGAAGCTGAGAAACATGCCTGAGAGTGGCCAGTTTCTTTTGCACCAGCCCAATAATAGATCAGCTTCGGGTGTGGCAACAAAACACGTTAGCCGAAACTTCTCTATTAAATGGCAGTTTTAAATACATGAGCTTTCTCTCTTAGGACCCAAAATCTGTTTTAGAACAGTTGTCACTAAAATTTCCTTGTCGTCATTTAGCTCTTGCTTGAAATTTAGGTAATGAAGTTGGACGGAACCACTAGTTATTGTCACGACTACCTGGCAATTTCTAAAAACGCCCACGTGTCAGAATTAAATTAAAATCAGGGCTGATAGGTCTCCTATCCTCCCCCAGTGAGGTCACAAATTAGCTGAAACAGCCCCTCAGCTGGACATCCAATCCACACCTGCAGAATACAGCCAGTCTCTTACATGGCAAAGGAGACAGGTGCCAAAAAGAACACTAGGAGTTTAGAATCAGTGATGCAGCCAGAGAGCAAAGATTGCAGGAAGAAAACATCTTTGCTGAATCCAGACAGGGATAGCCACAGCTGGATATCTGGACAGTCCCAGCCCAACCTTCAGACTTCAAAACCCAGCCCCTTCCTCGTGAAAAGGCAACACTCACATGAGAGAGCTCAGGTGGCTCTCAGGGGAAACACAACTCCCTGCAGAATTTAACGTTTCAACAGAAAATTAGCCCCAGCAGCAGGATTCAGGGCCATCCTAAAGGGTTTGGACTGCACCTTTGTTTACATCAACAGTGAAAAAGATATATATTAT